AGCTGGGAACTACCCTGCCCTAGATGAGAAAGTGGCAATGGGGATGGACTAAACCATCTAATATTACAGATCTTTTTCCAGCATTGTCTTCTGTAATTTAAGGGTGCTGCAGCAGTGGCTCTAGGTGAGAAGCAAAAGGAAAATCTTTGTCTGAAAGGAATTAAACTTAAAACAATAGGGTTGTAAATACCTGTTTGAATTTTTAACTGGTTTTCATTACACAAACACAGCTGGCTTCTGAAGCAGATCTCTGATTATCTGAGGACTTCAGATACTACAATAAGGGGGATCATGTAAGTAGGAAGGTGAGATAGATACAGCAGGGGATTAATGGTGCTAAATATCTCCATTCTCCCTTCATCTGCAGTATCAGATGTGTAAATAAAGGTAACAATAAATAGATACAAATCAGAGAGTTAAAGTAGGAGGAGGTGGTAGAATGCCCCTTTTTTATATGATCTGAGCATTATCCATCACTGTTAAGACAGCACTTGACACTTAAGCCTGGCCTACACTTAAAAGCTAGGTCGACATACCTACATAGAATCATAGAAAATTAGGGTTGGAGGAGACCTCAGGAGGCCATCTAGTCCAATCCCCTGTTCAAAGCAGGACCAACACCAACTAAATCATCCCAGCCAGGGCTTTGTCAAGCCAGACCTTAAAAACCTCTAAGGATGGAGATTCCACCACCTCCCTAGGTAACCCATTCCAGTGCTTCACCACCCTCCTAGTGAAATAGTGTTTCCTAATCTCCAACCTAGACCTCCCCCACTGCAACTTGAGACCATTGCTCCTTGTTCTGTCATCTGCCACCACTAAGAACAGCCGAGCTCCATCCTTTTTGGAACCCCCCTTTCAGGTAGTTGAAGGCTGCTATCAAATCTCCCTTCACTCTTCTCTTCTGCAGACTAAATAACCCCAGTTCCCTCAGCCTCTCCTCGTAAGTCATGTGCCCCATGTGGTTTTTTCACATCAATCAGGGATGTGAAAAAACCACATCCCTGACCAACAACTATGTTGACCTAACCCCAACAAGCTACCGTTGCACAGGGCAGTGGTGTTTCTACACCAACAGGTAAACCCCTTCCCTGCTGTGTCTACACTACAGGGTTCTGCTGGTGTAACTATGGCAACACAGCTATGACGATAAACTCTCCGCAGGGTAGACATACCTTCAGAAGAAACAAAAATGTTTTTTTTTTACAAAATGTTCCATCAATAACATAAATCACAGCTCTGGAAAGGGGAGGAAAAAGGCACTTCAGCAGTTACCCTGGCCTTCTAATATCTGCTGAACTCTGCTGCCATCCCAGGAGATAATCTAGTCCCCCATTCTCTGAACCCCCTAATTCTAAATCCCCAAGGAGAGTGGAAAAACACACACACCAGAGGCATATCTACTAGTCCCAATTTTTTTTTAGGTCTCTTCCTCTGACCCACTCTCCCAGCTTCAATGTATACAGAAAGTTAATTTAGAGGGAAAGCACCCCATATCACATCCACCAGAATAAGTAAGAAATTTGATGTCACTTTTTATCATTTTTGTATACAATATCCGCCTTACTTGTCTCACTATCCAAAGGTCAGATCTTCTTTACATTTGAATAGCAGATGCCGAGAACTGTATAGAAACTTTATTCTACATCCTAACACATTTAACATACACTACTCAACTTATCTTATTGCCTTTGTAATTGAGGCAACACAAAAAGGAAAAGGTTACAGAGCTGGAAGGACTGCACAGTGCCAATACACTATGCATTCATGCACCTTTTTCTACTGGTTTGAGTCTGGTAGTATAGAACACATATAATCAAACTAAAGTTAATAATACTGTCAGCTTTGAAAGGGTTTTTTCACCAGAGCAAATCCCATTTTACATAGTTAATTGACATCAGACAGGATCTGTGAAAATAAAACATTTGTTCAGAGTTCTCAGAATTAACATTTTACTCTAAATTAGGTATAAATAACACTTTACAATCTAAGGAAATCTGAGATGAAGATTTGCTTAGCAATAAACTGAAACTTTAAGTTTCCATCAAGTACTAAACATCTGCAATTGATTTTTTTCTGACAAGATCTGTTTTGCATTTATGCTGAAGCAAATTACATATAATAGTTGTGCTGAAATCCATTATCTTTCCCAACGCAACCAGAAAAAGCACTTGGCAAGTCTGATCTATTAACCCATCATCTCTGTGCTCTAAAAAGAATAACTTCCCATCTGCATCATTACAGGAAAGACTAGACAATGAGACCATTTTTCTCAATGAAGGAAAGTAAGGAAATACACTAGAGCAATATAGTTTATCTAAAAGAAAAAGAACCTCAAAGGTGCTGCCACTGTATTGAATAGCCTCCTACTCTAATTTTCTCCCTCATGCAGCATTCATATACAGCATGTGCCTTATATCTGATGCTGTACTAATGTATTCCGGGACTTCTGAAGCTACTCACATAGTACCGAGTACTCCCGAGCAGAGGTTTTTGTGTTCTTGCCTATAACAAGGCACTGCCTTGGTAGCATTCCTCTCAACCTTCAAACTTACCACTGCGAGACACAAGCAATCAAAATGTGTGGCAAATTACTGAAACATGGAACACCTGTATTTTGTTGCATGTTGTGACATAACCGACATTAGTGGATTTTAACTATAAAATCTATTTCAAAGGATATTTTCTCAGTGTGTGAATCTAATGAACTGTTTTTGCAATTTGTTAAAGGTGGGGATTTAAGGAAAAGGGCCTTGCATAGGATGCTTTGGATCTGAGGAACAATAAAATGTTGGGAATCAGGATTCTCCTCCTGGATTTGGGAAGGGCGTGTCGTCTAGTGATCAGTAGTGGTTACAGACAAAATAGCCAAGCAAATAGATTTGGCACATTCGTTCTGAAATAGAGAGTGGCTGAGACTTGGGTCTGCCATACTATAAAACTCTGTTCTTTGTTCTATTTCTAGCTATGCCAGAACTGTGCAACATCTCAGTTAACTTATCTTAAAAAATTAGGGGAAATTAATGATAGTTGCCTGCCTTCTATGGTAGGGATATGAGCAGGAGAGGCTCTATGTATTTTGCCGCCCCAAGCACGGCAGTCAGGCAGCCTTCGGCGACGCGCCTGCGGGAGGTCCACTGGTAATGCGGATTCGGCGGCATGCCTGTGGGAGGTCCGCCAGTCCCGCGCCTTCGGCGTACCCGCCGCCAATTTGCCGCCGAAACCGCGGGACCGGCGGACCTCCCGCAGGCATGCCACCGAAGGCAGCTTGACTGCCACCCTCACGGCGACCGGCAGGCCGCCCCCCGGGGCTTGCCGCCCCAGGCACGCGCTTGCTGCTTTGGTGCCTGGAGCCGCCCTTGGATATGAGGCTTATTAGAAAGGTTGAAATTCACCAATGAGTAGGAGAAGTGAGACCTGAACTCACGGTCTATTAGCCATAGTGCAATAGATTATTTTGATGGGGGAAGCCCTCTTTCTTGATCCTCCAGAATGTTGTTTCACTTAGTGGCGCAGTGAGACAAGGAGCCCAAATTGTTTGCAAGGCAGAATGTACTACAAAATGCAGTGTACCTGTGAGCTCTGACTGTAGGATAACGGTAAATTGCAATGCACCAAGTCAGCCAGATCTGAGTTTAGTCTACACAGGTTTCTTCCTAGTTTAGATGGGAAGCCATAAGCAAAGACCTATTACCAGGTTTTGCATCTGTGTTGCGTGTGAATGGATGTATGGTATTGTACAGCCATTGCAAGCTCAGTTTTTCAGGCAACGGTTGGTTTGTTGTGCTTTCTTTGTTAGCATAGAGAGGGCTTTAAGAACGGAAAGGTAACTTCATGTAGCATGTATTATGGACACTAGGGTTGGTTTTGTTCTAGACAATGAAGTTCCTTCGGAGTGAAATGTTTAAGTAACTAATAAAACTAATAATTAAATGCCACCTCTCTTGGTACATGCTGCTGGGAAGAGAAATATAATTTGCATAGTTATGTATGACCAGAAACAGGTCATGGACCCTTCCTGGCTGAACCAATTTCTTGACAGCTCCAACCATTCTAATCTGTACATGTGTTAGCTTCAGTGTATTGGATTTTCCTATTTCGTTATAGTACCACAGCATTTCATTGACCCCCTTTCTATCAACTTTTCTGTGTTTTTCCTCATGTTAAGTGAGATATGAACTTGCCAAGGTCACCTTAAGGTGCCATACGTCTCTGAAGCTGCTTCACGTGAAAAGGGACAACAGAGAACAGCCTCATATCTATTCGCTAGACATGAAGAATCTACACCAAGCCCTGCTGATTAATAGTGTGAGGCTTGAGCAGTTCCGAGCAGTTCTTTTTCAGCTGGAAAGATGCTTTCCAGCTGAAATGTTTAGGGATTTCAACAGTAGAATCTATACACAAAAGCCCTCTCCCTCTTAAGCTATCTTTAAAACATGGCTGCCAGCTGGGTATAAGGATTTAAGTTCATCTTCTTGAAGACAAATACAAAAATAGTTCTTGATTCAGCCACCACTGTATCTACTTTCCCTTCAATCTGCCTTTCTGCCGTCACTGGAACAGTCTGCCCTGTATGCCCCATTCTGTCCCTTATGCTAACTGCAGTGCTTTGCACCCTCATTGCTGCCAATATTGTTATGCATAAGGAATACCTTCAAACATTTAATAACTTTTGTTTCCAGTGCGCTATTGTGCAACGTTTACAAAAGGGGAAATTGAGGCACAAAGGTTGTGACTTGGTCAAGGCCACAGAAGTCAGTGCCAGAGCTGGGATTAGATCTCAGGAGTTCCTGATTTCCACACGCATGCTCTAATAACTAGATTACACTTCTCCCAGATCAAGGAGGACATCATTCTAATGAAGAGCAGGAGCCAACAGTGGTTCTGTGCATACTGACAGCCTGTTGCCACTCCACTAAACTGAGTTCCTGAAGTGGTTTGTCTGGAAAATATGTCTAGACAATAACATGCCCTGTCTGCAGGCAGTCTGAAACAATATGATATGGTGCGCATTAAGAGAGAAATGTCCCCAAGTTGAGGCCCCATAACTTCTATGGTCCAAGGACTCCATTCTCCATTCATTCAGGCCCTATTTCATTCACTTAAAGGTTCATCCATATAAAAAAATGTCTTCTCTGGAATAGCAAAGGCTTTATATAGATAAGTAAGAGTGTAAAAGCAATACCTTTTTGGCTTCGTCACTAGTCACTGAACTACCTTCTGCTTCATCTTTGGTGATCAAAGAAATTCCATCTGAGGAAAATCAAATTATATCAAAATATCATTATAAAGCTTTACCTGAAAGGGATCAGGGCAGAGGTACTGGGGTGTGTGGGGGGTGTAGGGCAGAAGGCTGGGTGTGTGTTGGGGTGTGGGGGGTTCAGGGCAGAGGGCTGGGAGGTGTGGGGGGTGCAGGGCAGAAGGCTGGGTGTGTGGGAGGGTTCAGGGCAGAGGGCTGGGGGGTGTGAGGGGTGCAGGGCAGAAGGCTGTGTGTGTGTGGGGGGTTCAGAACAGACGGCAGCGGATATGGGGGGTGCAGGGCAGAAGGCTGAGTGGGGGGGGGTTCAGGGCAGAGGGATGGGGCTGTGGGGGTGCAGGGCCGAGGGATGGGTATGTGTTGGGGTGGGGGTGCAGGGCAGAGGGGTGGGGGTGCAGGGCAGAGGGCTGGGGTGCTCGGCTCGTGGGAGTGCTCCCTTCATGGCAGGGGGCTGGAAGGGATATGCCCTGTTCCACCCCCTTCCCCCAGGCTCCGTCCCTACCTCTCTCTGCGTCCACTACGGAGCTGTGTGCACGCTGCCGCTCTTCCCCCGCCCCCTCGCTAGGGCCATCAGCTGATTGGCCAGGGACGGAGAGGAGGAGGGGCCGGAAAGCACAGCTGGGGGAAGAAGAGGGGGAGGGGGGAAGCTTGGCTGCTGCAGAACCAAGCTTCTGCCTCCTGCCCCCGCAGGGGACAGCAGTGGGTGGGGGGGCTGGGACCGCAGCAGGGAGCTGCGTGCCACTCAAAATCGGCTCGCGTGCCGTATTTGGCACGCGTGCCGTAGGTTGCCGACCCCTGCGGTAGACCCTCCAACTTCTAATCATCCAAGAGACGTTTACTTCTGCCACACAAACCAATGTTTAGACTGATTATGCATAAAACACTTTATCTTCCCCTAAGCAAAGTGAAACAGTCATTCCCTATATGCAAATCACTGATAGTGCAGCTTGTATTTATAAATTCTTCTTCCTCCTGAAATTGTTCATCTTGTTGGAAATTCTGGTTTGTACCATCTGTAAATTATTACAACAGAACATACCAGCATGACTTGGGTTGGTCCAAATCCCAGTATTTTCAAAGGTTTATTATGTGGCTAATTAAACTTCCTCAAGCCTGTTTCCTCCCCCACTCCCTCCCCAGTTTCAACTGGATATGATATTCTCCGTGTGATGTCCTAAGCTGTTGCTGTGCTCTATCCTAGCAATAGCTGGATTTCAGCAATGGGTGAAGTCGCCACTATATGTAGTTTGGAGTCCTTCTATCTGAAAGGTGCTATGCAAAAGCAAATTATATATTACCATATGTACAATGGAAAGAGGCAACTGTGCATTTAAAGTATATTTTCATAAGCACTCGTGCCAAGTAAAGGGAAGAATTTTTAGAGCATCAGGTTTTTCATGCTCATAAAAATCCTCACTTATTTGCCTACTGCTCCTAGTCCATCCAAGTCTTTTAGAAGTATGCTGCCTTCCTCCTCAGTTTAATCATCAGTGTGTCGTGTTACTACGTATTCCTTCCTGCAGGTCACTCTTACATCACTGAAATATGTCACTGATCACTGTGTGTGAGAGTCTTCTTTGCAGCTTCTGCCATCTGGAAGAGCCTTCCTCTCTCTCGCCAGTGCATCAGCTCTCCATTTATTTTAAAATGTATCTGAAATATTGTCTCTTCCTTGCCCTATACTGTTTAATTTCTCTCTCACTGTGCTATCAATTTACCATTGTAACTGTATTTAACTTGGTGTAGCATTTTGAAATACACCTCTACCCCAATATAACGTGACCCAATATAACACGAATTCGGATATAATGCGGTAAAGCAGCGCTCCTGGGTGGCAGGGCTGCACACTCGGGCAGATCAAACCAAGTTTGATATAACGCGGTTTCACCTATAACGCAGTAAGATTTTTTGGCTCCCGAGGACAGCGTTATATCGCGGTAGAGGTGTACTGTTTATATGAAACCAGGGCAAAACAAAGCTATATAGCAGTGAAAGACAAGTTTTACATGGCATGCCACAACTCTCTACACTAGAAATGCTGGTCTGCATTCATTTCCAGCTGCTAACATGTAGATTCCTCTCACACAATTTACCATTTGAAGAAAAATTGTGTGGGAGATGCAGAGGGAGAGTCAATTGTCGTCATACCTTGTATCAGAATCTCCCAGAAATCCGCTAAGGTTTGGTCTTCCACCTTTTCTTTTAGGGCCTGCAGGAAATCATTAAAGCACGGCACCTCTGACAGCTAGAAAAATGACAACAAAGATAAGACAGAAAAATAAAGTTAGCTTAATACCAAAGAGCTGTCATCTTAATGCATCATAAAAACATCTAACGTGGGGAACAAGAAAAAAGACATTCCAAACCACTGCACATTCACCTCGCTCCGCTAGAACCAGAGCTTCTAATGTGCAGGGCATCACAAAAGAGACTGCATTTCACAAAGCTGCACAGACCCTTTTGTGACTAGTTTTGTTTAAGAAGATATTTGGAGGATGGCATATTTCTCCTTTTCAACCACTAGGTCACAGGTATTGTCTTTTCGTATTAAGAAACCACAGCAGTATCTGGTCCTTAGTCTGTTGAGGCCAAAGGACCAAAACAACATTAAAATCTCTTTTAAATTTCCAATGTGGTATAATGGACTTAGATCTGTTGATCTTGTCCTGTTGCTAGCTTGTCATAATCACTGAAGGAACATAGTAGGTCTGCATATTATGCCCTGACATCTCACACAGAGTAGAGTTTTCACATATTATCATTACCTTAATGGCCTCCTCTCTGAAAACTCGAATACAGTCAATGCTCTTCATATAGTACTGTAAACCTTTAGTTTCCAAAAACTGTTCAATGCGGTTTACCAGCTGCTGGCTCACTGGAAGACAAAAAGAGGGAATGCATGCTTTCAGAAGGAAGAAAATCCTTCTCTTTAGCTGGCTGTACTTTCCTTGTTTCTCCTGCAGCCTGTTCTTCTGTAACTACAGCACATCTATTGGTAACAACAGTCAATCATGTCAATGTTGCATCAACCTGCTCATCTCACCCAATAATGAAGCCCCTACTCTAAGCTGCAGAAAATAATCTTCATTTAGTCTATACAATTTCTAACAAATCCCAACGTGGCTGAGGCAGGAGAATTTACAACTTGAGATCAAGAACACAAGCACTGACCCTGCTTGCTTGGTGGACAGTAGAATTGGAGCACCTACTATCAGAAAGTTGAGAGAGGCTGTTTTACTTCACTAAGTATAATGCCTAAACCATCTGTGAAAGACAGACATTTCAATGAAAATGTTAGGTTTTCAGTAAGTGGAATAATGTCATAGCTGCAGCAACAGAATAATCTCTAGTTGCTAGACTCTCACGTGTGGATGTTACTAGAGATACCTTATTACCAGGGCCTTCTGAATACATTTTAGCCCTCAGTACAATCATCTTAATCATTCTTCAAAGTGGAACATAGTGTAAACAATACCAGGGAAGATGTGTGTCTATATATCAACATTTACATAAATTGTGTGAGAGAGAAAGAGACAGAGGGAAGGAGACAGACAGACATGTAATGGTAAGAACTGGAATACCAATTGTATCCTCGCTGTTGAGTGACTCAGAAGACAGACAGTTGTAAAACACATTGGAAAATGTGAAAAGTAAAATGCCAAAAATAAAGACAATGGAAGTCCTGAGTATTCTCCCACATTTTGTTCTTTTACTTGCTTAATGGTTAGTGAAAAATATTTGCCCATCTTCATCTGCTGTGTACATACACCCCAAAGAGGTCATGGTGAGGATGCCTATTCATTACCTACAGACATGGGCAATGGGACATACCCAGGATAACACTGCCAGCTAAGCAGCAATTCTAGTAATCAGATGAAGGATTTCCCTTTGCGTAAGTTTAGAAAAGGCTCAGATCAAGGTACAGTTTTGCTCTTCTAGTTCTTCTCCATAGTTTATACTCATTTGGCAAACTTCTGCATTTTACTGTAATACTGTTAAATACATAAGATTCCCAGAGATGGATGAAGAGAAGTTATTCAGGTTTCAAATTCCGAAGCATTTCATATTTCATCTACAACACCAATGAAACTAAAATCCAAGTACAATATATAACAAGTCACAAAAAACATTCTACTTTGACTTACTTACTCAGCAATGTTGTATTTTAAGGCTTGTTTATCATAAGTGCTGTTCAGTCTGCTGAAGCATACATTATATGTACATACTTGCAAGTCCCAACCCACTGCAACTCAGGATACTAACTAAAGCAAATGATAATGCTTTTATAATTTCCATTAATAGCTAATAAAGACCATCATCACTAGAGTAGTCATTATAACATACAAATTCCATAACCAGTTACTCAAAAAGTCTGCTAGAACTGAGAACATAAAATATTTTAACAGGTGCTTTCAGGAAACCACAGTCCAAGCATACCATCAGGCTAAAAAAGAATTTAAGAAGTAAGTGTAAGTAACATGTCCTATTTATATATATATTTGTTAGAATAATCATATAGTAGTTGCTTCCCTTCTCTCCTCCCCCTTCATTCTGATTACTTGTCTATCTTTAGACTGTGAGCTCTTCAGGGCAGGCATCATGCCTTCTTTATTTGGACAGCACTCGGCACACCATGGGAACTACTGGACACACACAATAACCAATAAATTATTCTCTCTTGTTCCTTATGATGCATACCCCAGTCCCTCTGATGGCAAGACAGGATTTTCCCCTAACTCTCCTACATACAGTAGACATAAACTTGTTATGTGACAACACATGGTACTGATTTTCCATTGGATTATCTCATCAAAGCAGTGGACACCAACCCCAAGGTGTGCTGAGGTCAGCTAGAGCAGGGGTTCTCAACCTTTTTCTTTCTGAGCCGCCCGCCCGCCCCCCCTCCACCCGCCCCAACATGCTATTAAAAATTCCACAGCCCACCTGTGCCACCACAACTGTTTTTCTGCATAGCCAGTAGATTAAAAGCCGGGGCAGCAAGCAGGGCAACAGCATGGGGTCCGATGCCACAGGTAGCCCCATGAAGCTAAGCTGCTTCAGCTTCAAGCCTGGGCGGCGGCTCAGGCCCTGGCTTCAGCCCCGGGCAGCAGGGCTCAGGCTTCAGCTTTCTGCCATGGGCCCCAAAAGTCTAATGCCAGCCCTTCTCTCTGGTTTATAATGGCGGCCTCCTGAAACCTGCTCATTTCCCCCCAGGGGGCCCCGGGCCCCTGGTTGAGAACCACTGAGCTAGAGCACTGGGAAAAGCCAAGAAGGGTAGGACTGGTAACACGCTGGTAAGTTTGGAGTCAGAGAAATATAGAAGATTCCAGAACTGTTGAATCTGGATTCTACTCTTCTTTCACTCTTCTCCAGACTCTAAAGCATGTATACAACTAGCCACTGGTTCCATGTTCTGCAAAACACTCACCTGAACTTAGTGTAAAGGACAATAGCTATAATGACAACAGTTGTAAAATAAGAGGCACCCCACCCTCTCCCTGGTATCTGTTGAATCTATGATGTCCATAGAGGAGGAAATGTACGATGGTTCTGTACAATGCTTCACTGATGGCACAAAAAATTGAATTCAAATACATAAAAAGCTCACCCCTCCTCCACACAGGATGGTCACAACACTTTTATTTATTTATTTAACCAGTAACTAACAAACTAAATTGAACTCCACAAGTTAAGTCAGTCCATTTTTTCATGCTTAACGATTTTCTCATTAAATGTTCTAATTTCTTACAAATTGCACTAATAAAAGCAAGTCCTGCTGGGTTTTTTTCCCTCCTTTTAAATGCTGGCTTTTCATTGATGTGTTAAATTAAAACCCCAGGCCCTAAGAGAGTATAATACAAGTCTTTATTGTCAGAATGATTCCTGCACACTGCTAGGAATTATCAGACACTTGGTTTATTCTTTTACATTTTTTTCCCTTTAATTTCTGTAGCATTTGCAGGCATCAGAACATGGAGTTTTACATGCTAGAAACCTTGGACTGCTACTTCGTGAGATTTGTCCTAGGGGACTTAAAAAAAACCCCAAATTGTGTCATGATGCAACTTTATAATGTGAGGAAGGGGGCCGCACCATAATTTAAAGTGAGAGTCTTTTAATATCATGGATCAGAGGGGTAGCCGTGTTAGTCTGAAGAAGTGAGGTTCTTACCCACGAAAGCTTATGCTCCCAATACTTCTGTTAGTCTCAAAGGTGCCACAGGACCCTCTGTTGCTTTTTAATATCATGGGAAAGCCTGGTCAAAAACAAGTCTGTCCTCAGATAGCGGAGCAATGATTAATGAATGTTACATGCAAGGACACAAGTGTCCCACAGTCCCTGCTCTGGTTAGTCTATCTAGCGACTGATTTTAGGCTGCCATTAGATAGATAGAGTTGAATACAGTAACTAAGGACCGCACAAAGTCATTCACAGTGAATTCTGCTCTTTGACTCTGCTAGGTTTGACAGTTTAGCTTATTATTTCTTTCTTTTCCTTCTCCTCCCCACCAGCCATTTCTCTCTCTCTCTTGTTGTGATCCCAATGGCCTGTGATGGGATGTTGGATGGGGTGGGATCTGAATTACTACAGAGAATTCTTCCCTGGGTGTCTGGCTGGTGAGTCTTGCCCACATGCTGAGGGTTTAGCTGATCGCCATATTTGGGGTTGGGAAGGAATTTTCCTCCAGGGCAGATTGGCAGAGGCCCTGGGGGTTTTTTGCCTTCTGCTGCATCGTGGGGCACAGGTCACTTGCTGGAGGATTCTCTGCACCTTGAAGTCTTTAAACCATGATTTGAGGACTTCAATAGCTCAGACATAGGTTAGGTTTATTACAGGAGTGGGTGGGTGAGATTCTGTGGCCTGCGTTGTGCAGGAGGTCAGACTAGACGATCATAATGGTCCCTTCTGACCTTAAAGTCTATGACTCTACGATTACTTGGTTTTGGTTGTCATGGGAAGGTCTTTGTGCTTTTGCCAAACGGTGAGTTTTGCAACATGCTCTGATAAGAGTCAGGTGTCCCTTCAGTCTTATCTCCTGCTGTAGGTCGTTCCACAGATGGGGGCTCTTGGCTAAGAATACCTTACCTCTGGCCTCTCAAGCTTCATCCTGGACACAATTAGCTGAACTGTCCCAGAGAAGCATAGCTGTCTTGTATCAGAGGGGTAGCTGTGTTAGTCTGCATCTGAAGAAGTGAGGTTCTTACCCACGAAAGCTTATGCTCCCAATACTTCTGTTAGTCTTAAAGGTGCCACAGGACCTTCTGTTGCTTTTTATAGCTGTCTTGGTGTCTTTTGATTGGAGAGTTGGTCTCTGATGTACCATATAAGGGCCCCAAACCCGGAGGGCCTTTAAGAATGGACACCTTACCTTATCTGAACTGAGAAACTTTACCCAGTTCAGACGATTGGTGTGATACACTCTTCTGTAATTTTTCTATCTAAAGAGAAGGACTACTACATTTTGCAGGAGCTGGAAATCCTGTGTTACCCTGACCTGCAGTCCCAGTTGTCAGCATTTTCCCTCTCACCCCCAGGAAGTTTTGGTCTTCCCTACTTCTTTCCCATGTTACAGCTGATTGGGTTATATAATGAATTAAGTGATTATATGATGGGCAAACTACAGAATCAGATATTACAGAAGGAGAAGAGCAATTAATTTATCTAGTCCATCTCTCTGTTAATGCAGGAGACATTCTCTGGAGACTAGGGCTTCTACCTTTGGTGAAATATGCCAGATTGACTCCGCTGGAGACTGCTGTCCTCTTTTTATCCACTGCATAACAGCGCAAGCTTGCTCACACTGCCCTGACATGGAGGGGTTACCCCACTGCTGAAAGTGCAGGTCAATTTCTATATGTCTATTCAGTTCAGCCC